AGGCTGCTGATGAGGTGGGAGGATTGGATTGCTTGAGCCCAGAAGGTCAAGGCTGCAGTGAGCCATGTTTGTGCCTCTGCACTCCAGCCTGGGTGACAGAGCAAGACCTTGCCTCAAAAAGAGAGACAGAGAGAGAGAGAGAGAGAGAGAGAGAGAGAGAGAGAGAGAGAGACCCTGATACCTAAAAATGAGCATAACTGAGAAATGGGGAACCTGGGCCCTGGGCCCCTCCAGAGCACTCCCCACTGCATGCCCTATAAAAAATATCAGATGTATTACATGAGAAAACACATTCTTTGATTCAGACAGGAATGTAGGGAGGTCTGGGTGTCAGACTTGAGAACAAACATGACAAAGGAGACCCAGTCCATTTTTTTCCCCTGAAGTAGAATAAATAAGAAAAAAAAAGGAGAGTTGGGTGTAGCCCAAGTTGCTGCTAAGCAGAAGAGACCTTGCAGAAGTGGTCACTGCAGACCAATTAAGGAGCTGTTTCTAAATAACTGGCAGGTTATTTATTGCTTATAACCAATAGAATTCCTTAAAATAAAATTGACAAACAGCCCACCAGGTCTCTACGGAAAAAAGATGCCCCCGTCCTTCATTCAAATGAACATGTCAAGGAGTCTTACCTCTGCAACAGCTGCCAGGCACCGCACAAAAGTGCACTGCCATGTTCTGGAAGCAGAGCATCAGTTTATTCACATACAATGTGAAATACCATGCTAAACTTTAAAGTTTGTGGAAGAAAATACCCAAGAATAGCCAAGAAGGTCAGGCATGGTGGCTCACGCCTGCAATCCCAGCACTTTGAGAGGCCAAGGCAGGCAGATCACCTGAGGTCAGGAATTCAAGACCAGCCTGGCCAACATGGTGAAACCCTGTCTTTACCGAAAATACAAAAATTAGCCAGACCTGGTGGCACATGCCTGTAATCCCAGCTACTCAAGAGGCTGAGGCAGGAGAATTGCTTGAACCCGGGGAGATCGAGACCATTCTGACCAACATAGTGAAACCCCATTTCTACTAAAAATATAAAAATTGGCTAGGCATGGTGGCACTTGCCTGTAGTCCCAGCTACTCGGGAGGCTGAGGCAGGGGAATCGCTTGAACCTGGGAGGCAGAGGTTGCAGTGAGCAAAGATCGTGCCACTGCACTCCAGCCTGGCAATAGAGCAAGATTTTGTCTCAAAAAAAAAAGAAAAAGAAAGAAAGAAAGAAATTATTATGGTGGCATTTTAAATTATTGGGTATGAGGTATTGGAATTATTAGATTTTAATTTGAAAATAAAATGAACTTAGATTTACACCTCACATCATATCAAAAAATAAAATTCCAGATGAATTAAAGATCTAAACATAAGGAAAAAAATTAAAAAGTAATATAAAAAATAATATTATAACAGGCAAAATTTTTTAAAAAGTGAGCCATGAATACCAGAAACCATAAAAGAAAAGATTATCAGATTTGAGAGTATAGAAATGTTACACTTCTTTTTGAGGAAATATATTATAAACAAAATCAAAAGGCAAGTAGCAGACTGAAATAAAATACTTGGAACATATAGTCAATCACTATTAATTTCAACAAACAAACAAGAAAAACAGTGAAATAGTGTAGCCAGGCACAGTGGCTCACACCTGTAATTCCAGCACTTGGGGAGGCCAAGGCAGGCAGATCGCTTGAGCTCAGGAGGTTGAGCTCAAGCCTGGGCAACATGGTGAAACCCAATCTCTATGAAAAATACACAAAATTAGCCATGCCTGGTGGCTGACGTGCACCTGTAGTCCCAGCTACTCAGGAGGCTGAGGGAGAAGGATTGCTTGATTCCAGCAGGTTGAGGCTGCAGTGAGCAGAGATCCCACCACTGCACTCCAGCCTGGGTGACAAAGTGAGATCCTCTCTCTCTCTCAAAAAACAAACAAACAAACAAAAAAACAGGAACAAAAAACCAGTCTAATAATTTTATTTTTTTTGAGATGCAGTTTGCTCTTGTCGCCCAGGCTGGAGTTCAATGGCGTGATCTTGGCTCAATGCAACCTCCTTCTTCCAGGTTCAAGTGATTCTCCTGCCTCAAACTTCCAAGTAGCTGGGATTACAGGCGCCTACCACCACCTCCAGCTAATTTTTGTATTTTTAGTATAAATGGGGTTGCACTGTGTTGGCCAGGCTGGTCTCAAACTCCTGATCTCAGGTAATCCACCCACCTTGGCCTCCCAAAGTCCTGGGATTACAGGCGTGAGCCACTGCACCTGGCCCAGTCTGATCATTTTAAAATGTAATTTATAACAGAATACAAACAACTTAGAAATAGAGCATACCAGCAAAATAAAATAAGACCAACTTACTACTTTCTACCCATCACATTGGCTAAAGTTAAAACACAAAATAAAGTATCATCAAGGCTTTTGGGAAACAGTTATGCATGTACATCTTTTTTTTATACCATCCTGTCTCCAGATACACATATATCCTTGATAGGAGTGGAAATCTAAATTTGTACCAAGTTTTTGGAAGGCAGTGTGTAGTCTGTATTCCATTTTCATTCAATTTCCAGGAATTTATTCTATAGAAAAACTTACACATGTACAGTCATGAGTAATGTATGGGTACAAGGATGTCTTTAGCAGCTTACGAGAACAACAAAAACAACAACAACAAAATAAAACTAGATCATTTCCTATTTCTGTTTCTTTCTTTGAACAAGGTACAATTGATTAAGTTGACATTCAACAAATTACAATTCTTCTTGCGGAAATTACATCCAATTTACTTTGATTGGAGTCTAAGGCATTTCCAAACTCTTCAGTCACACTTTCCAGAAAATGTCTCAGTTTATTCCCGCATTCACTTTGTATGAGTTTTACTGTTTTAATTCTCAGAGGACAATCTGATTTTCTAGGACTCATGTATTAGCAATTAGAAAACTGGTAAAATGCCATATGGATTCAATGTTACCAACTTTCCTGTCCCACTTTAGAGACTAAAGGGCTGTTGCTCTTATGGACTCATGGCCAAATTGTTGAGGTAGAGGGATTCTAAATGCAAGGTATGGATGTTGGGGATGCAGAGGAGAAGGGAACCAAAAGAGGAGTTACTAGTAAGTGCTCGTCATCATAAAAAGCAGCAGATCACACCGTGGGCTATTTTACTCCCTAGGAGACGTTTGGTCATACCTGAGGAAGTTTTGGATTGTCACGACTAAGAGGCTGTTATTGGCATCTAGTTGGTAGAGGCCAGGGAGGCTGCTAAGTATCCTGCAATGCACAGGACATCCCCCCACAACAAAGAATTATCCAACCCAGGATAACAATAGTACTAAGATTGACGACTGATGTAAGGGGATACAAAGCACCTTATATGGATTATTTTATTAATAGTTGCAATGACTCTATGAGGTAGGAACAATAGAAAATCTCCTAATAGACTTTCACTAATTCAACTCACTAATCAAATTAACGGATGCTCTCTGCTTGTTCCATAAAACATATGCAGTGATGTTTACAGTCACAAAATGTTCAAGGCCGGCCACTCTCTGGAATGCCTGTGCACTTCTGCTTCATCACTAGAGCTGTACTTACCAAGTTGATTTTAGTAATAGACTTTTTAGTTTTTTATTATTGTAATTATGTATTTTAGTCACATATTACATAAATCAGAGTTTCCCAATCTTTTCTCTTTTTTTTTTTTTTTTTTGAGGCAGAGTTTTGCTCTGTTGCCCAGACTGGAGTGCAGTGGCATGATCTTGGCTCACTGCAACCTCCACCTCCTGGGTTCAAGCGATTCTCCTACCTCAGCCTCCCAAGTCGCTGGGATTACAGGCATGCACCATCACACCAGGCTAAGTTTTCTATTTTAGTAGAGATGACTTTTCACTATGTTGGCCAGGCTGGTCTGGAACTCCTGACCTCAGGTGATCCACCCACTTCTGCCTCCCAAAGTGCTAGGATAATAGGCATGAGCCACCACGCCTGGCCCCAAGAATTTTCCAATCTTGGCATTGACATAAATGAATGAAATGAGTGCAGAGATAAAGGGAGTTGTTTCTGTGATAGCATAGTCTCATGTGGCAGACACTATGTCCTCACAAATCTGTCTCCTCTAATTGCTGGGCACAGAGTTGGACTACATTTCCCGGAACCCTTTGCATTAGAAGGGACTATGTCTCTACTTTTCTTACCAAGGGACTGTGGGCAGAAGTGGTATGCTTCCACTTCTTATCTTCCAGGCTGAGGTAGTCAGTTAAGAGCGAGTGTGCCTCCATCATCCTTCCCTTCTTTCTTTCCCCTTCTTCTCAGTTGATGCATTCAAAAGCAGTAACCTTGGAAGCCACACATGAAAGATTGCAGAGCCAAAAATGAAGGGCCTACACATCCCTGAATCATGCTTGGAGGAGAGTCACTCATCAATTAGGAGCACCTGCTTTGGCCTCTATGTGAATAAGAAGCTTATATTGTTCTCGAATTGCTACACATTTCTGGGTTTGATTGTTAGAGTAAATAGTATTTTCTTAAAAAAAATACAACTGGGTTGAAAGTTTTGGAAATACTTGTAAAAGTGAGTCCCTCAAAATTCACAATTAAATTAGGTGTGGAGGCTGGGCACAGTGGCTCATGCCTGTAATCACAGCAGTTTGGGAGGCTGAGGCAGGTGGATCACCTGAGGTCACCTGCCTCAGGTGGCCAACATGGTGAAACCCTGTCTCTACCAAAAATACAAAAGAAAATTAACAGGGTGCGGTGGTGGCTGCCTGTAATCCCAGCTGTTCGGGAGGCTGAGACAGAAGAATCTCTTGAACCTGGGAGGTGGAGGTTGCAGTGAGCCGAGACCACGCCGCTGCATTCTAGCCTGGGCGACACAGCAAGACTCCGTCTCAAAAAAAAAAAAAAAAAAAAGAGAAACAAACAAACAAAAAAAATTAGGTGTGGGAGAGACAATGGTAAAATGTTAGGAATGAACTCATAAGTATCTAACAGAATTTTATATTTTTATTTATTTTTAAGAGTCTTTAAGCTCTGGCTTCATTTTGAGGAAATCATTGACTACGCATTGCTGGCATGGCTCATGGAAGGAAATCATCTTGGATTCTAATCAGCAAAACCAAAGGCCCAGACTTACATCAAAAGATTGACCTATATTCACGCGCATTTAGCTATTTTAAGTGGAAACTCAATGTTTAAAGTAAATATGTATCATTTTTTATGATGTCTGGCTTTAACTAATTTTTAAAAATAATCTTCTCACCACTAGTCTCAATCCCATTGAATGAGAGAACTTCTAGAGTTCTGCCAGTTTACAAAGGAGGAATCTGGGGTTCCAGAAGGTATGATGACTTTCCCAAATCATGTGACTAGCAGGTGGCCCAGCCAGAATTTACTCTAGTCTCCCACTCCTCCACTGTTACTTGTGGTGTCTTTTCTTTCTCTTGGGAGCTCCGGAATACTGAGCCAAAGGCCATGATATCTGTATCTGATGGAGAAGCCAGTTCTGGCTTCCAGAACCCATTGTTACAAACAATGGGTAGCAAATGCTCCCATGGAAGTTGCCCATTTGGCAAATGCTTTAGTTTTTAGGGGTACTTAACTGCATGAAAAATAGAGCCAAGAAGCACAGACCCTGGCTCTGTGTCAGTCCTGCTCAGAGATCCCAATGCAGGCTCCACCTCAATGCCACTGGTGTCTCCATCTCTGCAGTGCTATAGCCACCAGTCCTCGGGAAATGCTCCCGATCTCAGGCTCCCTCTCACTGTCCCAGAACTTTCTTTATGGTTCACAAACACATTAAGCACATTATCTTGTTTAAGTCTCTCAACCACCCTGTAAGTTAGGCAGGGCAGATTTAACCTCATCTTACAGAACATTGAAGCTGAGAGGGATTTCATCATTTTCTGAGGTCCCATGGCTGCTATGTGGCAGGGTTAGAAAGGAAATATCAACACAGGTTTTGTATTTCCCAGTTCCATATTCCTTCTGCCACATCACGTGAACTTCTGCTGCCACATCAGATCTTGTCACTCTACAACCCTGTGTGCTTTCAGCAGAGGCAGCTTGGTGCCCTGGTTAGAGAAGGTCTTGGGCCGTGGCCAGAACTGGTTTGAGCCAGGGCTCTGACTCTTATCAGCCTGAGCTGCGGTTTCTTCATCTTTTACGTGGATGTGAATAAACAGATCAACTCATTCATGAATGGTGAAGACTGTACATATTTTGTGAGAAAGTCATGATTGCAGTGCCTGGCTCATAGTAAATGTTCCATCACTACTCACCCCCCACCCATCTGCTCTCTACAGTTTGTGTTGTACCTGTACCCACCTGAGTGCTGATGTCTGTGCCTGCACCTGTACCTTGCATTCTACCCCTACCACTGACTAAATGCTGGGCCTCTTCTGCCTGGATGGAAGCTTCCCAAGATCAGGGACCATGATTCTTTCATGAAAAAATGCTGTGAGATGGCTTCTCTCCTTGACCAGGAGCCAGGAGATCTGGATTCCAGTCTTGTGTTACTTTCTTCCTCCGAGCCTCAATTTCCCATTTGTAAAGTGAGGGAGTTTGGCTAGGTGCTCTTTTGAATGATGATGATCCATGGTTTCCAGATCTCTCACGTCAGACTAGAATAGCTCCCTGGAAGCTAGAGGAACAGTGGCTGCCTCACCCCCTGGATATTTCCACCCCAGAAAGGGCTCTGCATATTCACAAGCCTTTAAGTGCACAGCATTGTGTGCCAAGCGTGGTGCTACCATCTTGGGAGAGAGACAAGGAACAGAAAACAGTTCTTGCCCCCAGGAGTCCTGCCTGCCAGACTTATTGAGGAGCGAACACAAACACAAATTAAAAAGCTGAAGATCCTAGCTCAAGCCCTGGGCATCTCTCCACTGGAGAAATACAAACAACCTCCTAACAGACCTTCTTGCTTCTCATATCCCTCCTTGTCAGTTCATTATCTCAGCTATACAAAAGTCTAAGACTGATCAGCTCACCTGTCTCAAAGCCTTTCATGGCCCCCTCTGTCTTTCCAGTGACAATCTGAACTCATTAGCATGATACGAAACCCTTTGCTATCAGGCCTCTGCCTGTCCGGCAGGGTTCCAATCATGATCACTTTTCACTGGCAACCTGGACTCTGGACATTTGGCACCACCTCCCCTCATCCTATCCCTCACCTCTACCCCAGTAAGCTCGGTCAACCTTTGTAACCACCATGACTCACTTGATTAGCTTAGGTACAATCTGATGACATCTCTTTTTTTTTTTTTTTTTTTTTTTTGGAGACAGGGTCTCGCTCTGTCGCCCAGGCTGGAGTGCAGTGGCGCGATCTCGGCTCACTGCAAGCTCCACCTCCCGGGTTTACGCCATTCTCCTGCCTCAGCCTCCCGAGTAGCTGGAACTACAGGCACCCGCCACCTCGGCCGGCTAGGTTTTTGTATTTTTTAGTAGAGACGGGGTTTCACCGTGTTAGCCAGGTTGGTCTCGATCTCCTGACCTCGTGATCCGCCCATCTCGGCCTCCCAAAGTGCTGGGATTACAGGCTTGAGCCACCGCGCCCGGCCGATGACATCTCTTTTACTTCTCTCATTTCAACATTTCAACATTTGGGCCTGAGGTGCCCTTATCAGCAGGAATTTCAGAATCTTTCTGGTAAGGCCTCTCATCTCCCATTACTCTCTGGTACACAATTGCCCAATAACTTGGGGGTTTACGTAATCCAAAGAGATTAGTGTGTGAAGAAAGGGAAAATATAGGAAAGAACAGAACCCTGCCGAATAAAGTGAGGCAGGTTTCCTGGAGAAAGATATTTTCATCAGGATTTAGAAACATATGAGAACTTGGGCAGGTAGTTTGTGTTGACAATGGGGATGGGTGGAACCCTGAATATAGGAGTAATACTCAAGAAGTAAAAGAAGCAGCATCCCTGGGTCAGAATACAGTGACTTCAAGTTGATAAATTCCAGTCTGGTAAGACTCTCAGGAAATGGGTGAACTCATTCAACGCTGATAATGTTTCAGATTGGTATAGTCCTAGAGAGCCATAAACACAGTCTTGCCTTTGACAAGTAATCTTGCTCGTGAAAATTTATGTTAAGGAAATAATTCAGTTGAACACCAAAAACTCTGAACAACAATATTCATAGGCATTCTTTAAACTAGGGAAAATTTGGAAGCAATCTAAAATTCAATAGTAGGAGTTGATTAAATGTAACATCAAGTGGCCATGGAATGAAGTGTTGGGAAGACATTAAAAATGATACTGTCTGGGCACAGTGGCTCACACCTGTAATCCCAGCACTTTGGGAGACCAAGACAGGTGGAGCCTGAGGTCAGGAGATCGAGACCATCCTGGCTAACACGGTGAAACCCCATCTTTACTAAAAATACAAAAAAAATAAAAATAAAAAATAATAAGCTGGGCATGTTGGCAGGCGCCTGTAGTCCCAGCTACTTAGGAGGCTGAGGCAGGAGAATGGTGTGAACCCAGGAGGCAGAGCTTGCAGTGAGCTGAGATCACACCACTGTACTCCAGCCTGGGTGACAGAGCGAGACTCTGTCTCAAAAAAAAAAAAACACGGTGAAACCCCACCACCAATTGAGGAGAGGAGCCTGAGGGAGGGAGAGAGAGAGATGGCCAGGATTACACGACATTTAGCTTGTGGACAGAGCAGACTCTGTCTCAAAAAAAAAAAAAAAAAAAGGATACTTGTGCCGGGCGCGGTGGCTAGGAGTTTGAGACCAGCCTGGTCAACATGGTGAGACCCATCTCTACTAAAAATACAAAATTAGGCAGACGTGGTGGTGTGTGCCTGTAATCCCAGCTACTTGGGATGCTGAGGCAGGAGAATCGCTTGAACCCGGAAGGCAGAGGCTGAAGTGAGCTGAGACTGTGCCACTACACTCCAAGCTGGACAACAGAATGAGACTCTGTCTCAAAAAAAAATTTGAAAATGATACTTAAGATTTGCATTATTCAAAAACAATTCAGCAAATATTGATGGAGATGTTGACGGGGTTAGTTTCTTCTGAGGCCCCTGTCCTTGGCTTGTAGATGACTGTCTCTTTCCTGTGTCTTCATGTGACCTCCCCTCTGTGTCTGTTTCCTGGTCTCCTTTTCTTCTAAGGACACCAGTCATATCAGATTGGACCCGCCCTAATGACTTCATTTTAACTTAATCTCCTCTTTGAAGGCCCTATCTCCAAATAGAGTCACATTCTGAGGTACTGTGGGTTAGGATTTCAACATATGAATTTGAAGGAACATAGCTCAGCCTCTAACAAGATTTTCTGTCTGGGACTGTGCTGTGGACTTGTGGGACTAAGACATAAAGGACCCAACCACTGGTTGCCAACATCCGCAGACAAGGAAAATGCTGTCTTTGATGGAAGGATGGACCTCTGACGGGGAAAAGCAGTGGTCTGCAGCAGCATTTGCAGGGGACAATTAGGGCAAATGTGGGAAGCAGGACACAGATCCCATTTGGTGGATGTGGAGTGGGACTTGGATGGTGTACACATAGCACTCAAGGGCTGTAATCAGGAAGTGCCTTTATTTTGTCTCTCACTTTCCTTTAAAATTTATTTATCTTGGAAAATTTCCTCTCTGCTCCTGTATTTAAAAAATCATACAGTCTTCTGACTTTCTTTCTTTTTCCTTTTTCTTTCTTTTTTTTTTTTTGAGACATAATCTGTCTCTGTCACCCAGGCTGGAGTGCAATGGCAGCGATTCTCCTGCCTCAGCCTCCCAAGTAGCTGGAATTACCGGCATGCACCACCATGCCTGGCTAATTTTTGTATTTTTAGTAGAGATGGGTTTTGTCATGTTGGCTAGGCTGGTCTCAAACTCCTGACTTCAGGTTATCCACCTGCCTTGGCCTCCCAAAGTGCTGGGATTACAGGCATGAGCCACCGCGCCCAGCCAATCTTCTGACTTTCTATTCACTGTTAGGTAAGTCTTTCAGGTCATGTTAAGTTGTCAAACTCTGGTCCAATTTAGAAATGAAAATGTCAAGCCCCAGGTAATAGTCAAAGTTTCCAACTTACGCTATAGCTTTTTGTCTGGGTGGGGCTGCCAAGGTGGGCTGTCTGGGCAGGGTCTGGGGAATGGGCTTCTTCTCTCTTTACATTAACTTCTTCTCTCATTCTCCCTGTCTCTGCCTCAGTTTCCGGTCCCTATGAGATTGGGCTTGAAGCAGGGAAAAAAGATAGACTGTTTTTGTACACAT